GACTTAAGTAAAAACAAATTATAATAAAGCCTCAATGGTTGCTAAAATCATCTTCAAGTTCCTTAAAAAAGGGTATGCTTATATACAGAGAGAAACTGAGTTAATGTGTTCTCTTAATAAAATCGTTTGGACAAAAAGAATAGAGTGAAAAGTAGCTATCCCTTGACCAAAACTTGCAGCAAGTCCCTCTCAAAGTAGGTGCCACTAACACTTTTGGGGTGTCAAGAATGTATAGGATAGATGTACAAGAATCTTGATGCTAGTGGACAGTGCCTTTAGAATGAAGATAGTAGGAGTGTGCTTTATAACTAGTTTCTCAGGGGCCTGCCCAGTTGTTTAAGTGCCTGCTTAAGCAAATACAGACAGGCTCAGGATACTGTGGTTCAATCCCCAGATCCTCATGCCTTTCTAGACCTGCGCTTAAGGCATCCTGTGACAGCCCCCCCCCAAAAAAAAAAAAAAAAAAAATCCTTACAGCTAGTTTCCTGAAAAGCACTTGTTGGATAACTAAATCCGTATTCTAGATCAAGAGTGAACCAATTTTTTCTCTGTGTAAAGGGCCTGGTAGACTTTGACAATCTAGGTTGTCTTTCTGGCAACTACTCAGCATGTTGCAGTGCTAAAATTGACATGGATAATACATAAACAAATGGCTGCATTTCCAAGGAAATGTTATTTACTGCTATTTACCATAGCAGCTGGATCTGGACTGTACACCCTTGTTTGTTGAGACCTGCTGTATTATTAACTAAAACATGTCCTAAGTTTCAAAATGTGAATATGCACAAAAATTCCACAGTTCAGAGAACAGGATGTAGGGACTCTGTTCCTTACCAATTATCCGGTGTGGGCTGGTCTCCTGACTGAGATAGCCTCCCTTTGGCTAGACTGGTTCTGTGCTGGTCTCTGATGGCCCTGTGCATACTGCCTTGCTTCTCCTCTTCCCTGAATGAAAGTCTGTTCAGAAATCACTTTTACTGCAGGGTTTCTCAATCCTATCCAATGACATTGACTAAAACCTTAATCACAAAGCTTTTGCGTTGCTTACCAGTGGTTTGCGTCTAATTTCTTACACAAAATATAGTACACACTTACCAGGATTTTTGGACAGCCCTCTGTCCCTGTGAAGTTACAGTCCAGTGGCTCTGCCAACTCTGCTGGGTTCTTGTCTAGGCTTCCAACCTCCCCACAGTGGCAGAAGAGAGAAACTCTGCTCTGTTGTGTAGTGTCATTTCCTGCCTGATTGAAGTTCAAACTAAAACTTGTTTCTTTGCTGAGTGCATATAACCTAAGACATCAAGTATCTGTGGAGAGTTCTGTACATCTGCAAAAGCTGAGGGTTTTACTAATTATTAAAGGTGCCAAATCAAATATATAGCTCCCCCAGGGATTTAGCTCAGGGGCACAGCTCTTGCCTAACAAGTGTAAAGTCTTGATTTGAGTCCCAGTAGCATGCCCTCCCCCCATGTATAGCTCCCCTTAGAGATTTCTTTTTCTTTTTTCCCCCCTCTCTCCCTTCCCCCTTTCTGTTTCTTTCTCTCTCTTTCTTTCTTCTTGGGTGCTTGTTCAGGTCTTGAAGGATTCAGAGATCAAAAGCAGTTTTCCTTAAGGTTGTCGGAAGTATTCCCAGACCAGGGTTCTGTGGCTAGGTTAGGCTAGATTATATGGCAGTAACAACAATTCCCAGACCTTGTTGCCTTAAAATAGCTAACCTTTATTTCTTGCTCATTCATCTGGGTCAGTTGAGGTCTCAGCCTACATTGTGTTAACACTGGGAATTAATGAGTTATCTGTGAACCTTACTATGGTCTTTTTTTTTTTTTTTTTTTTCTGTTTTCTAATTAACAGTTTAAAAATCACTAACTGACTTCAAGACTTACTATTAAGCCACAGTAATTAACAGAATGTGTGGTGAAAGGCTTCAACAAAGTACATCAGTAGAATAAAATAGCCCGGAAGTGGAGTCACAAATACTCTCGACTGGCCTTTAGCGAAAGGGCAAATGTAATTCAGTGGAGAAATCATTGTTTTTGTTATAAATGGTGCTGCTGCACCTGGATACCATAGTACATGCAAAAAAAATTTAGACGTAGGCTTTGCCTCTTTCATAAAAACTAGCTCCAGGATGGGGGATATAGCTCAGTGACACAGCACCTGCCTGGTAAACATGAGGTCATGAGTTCAACTCCTGGTACTGAAAAAGAAAAAAAAAAAAAAAAAATAGCTCAAGATCATGGATTTAAATGTAAATGGTAGACCATAAACTCTGAAGTAACCAAGGGTTAGGGTCTAAGTGACCTTGAGTTTGATGATGACTTTTTTGTTTGTTTGCTTTTGTTTTTTGGTACTGGGAATCAAACTCATGACCCTGTACTTGCCAGGCAGGTGCTGTGCTGCAGAGCTATATTCCTAGCCCCATGATGATGACTTTTTAATCTAATGCGAAAAGTATGATCCATGATGAGAAAATACTGATAAGCCAACCTTCAATGAAAGATGTTAGCCGTGCAAAGACACTTACGGAGTGAAAAGACAAGCCAGAGTCTAAGAGAAAGTCTTTGCGCAATTACTTATCTGATAAAGAACTGTTGTCCGTAATATACAAGAACTCCTACAATTTAGCAATATGAAAACAAGCCAGTTAACATGAATACAAAAACCTAAACAGATACTTCACCAAGGAATGTATGTGGGTGGGAAACAAACGTATGAGGAGATGCTCAACTTCAGTGGTCAGGAATGTAAGGAATTGGTAGCTTAAACAACAGTAAGATCCTGAAACACATGTAGGAGAAGCCCCAATACCAAAGTCTGCTAACAGCATATGCTGGAGAAGTATGGAACAGCAGGTGCTCTGATGGTGGGAATCCAAAATGATAATAGCCACTTTGGAAGATAAAGTAGCTGATTTTACAAAATTTATTCTGGTTATACCATCAAATCCATTGGTCAGGCTGCTAGTTACATATTTATAGTACTTTATGTGTAATTGGCAAATATTAGACATATTCAGGATGCTGTCCAGTCATTGGAAAAGCTGTTTATATTCATACTGGAGTATTATTTAGTAATAAGAGGAAATAAGCCACATAGACATAAAAGGACACAGAGGGACTTGAGTGCTTATTACCAAGTGGAAGAAGCTGTCCGAGAGGCTGTTCATTGTATGACTGCATCTTTTGCCATTGTAGGAGAGGCAAGACTATAGGGACAGTGTAAAGGTCAGTGGCTGTCCTACGTTCTGAAGGGGAAGACAGAAGAGAAGCTAGTAGAGCATGGGCTTTGGGTTTTGAAGTTTTTTGTGGTACTATAACAGTGGGCACTTGACGCTGCATTTGTTAAAACCTACAGCACAACTCCGAGTGAACACTGTCAGCTATTAGCTTTAGTTAAGAACAGTGATTCAGAAATCTGGCAAATGGACCACATTTGTGTAAAATGTTAATAAAGAGGGGAAATGGTATATATGTAGAGCAGGAATAAAAAAGGTATATATGCGAGCTTTTGGCACATTCTTTTTGTGACTTAAAAATGCTCTAAAAATCTTACAGATTTTAAAAAGTTAGATGATTGCCTTTTCTGTATAATTTTACTTGCATAAAATTTAAGTTTTCACAATAGGTTTTTGAGGGACATTTCTGTGACAAAAGTGCTGTGCTGTTTAGAATAGTTGTCAGTATGTCATCTTTACCTCTTAGAGACCTTTTCACTTTTGGGAAGGTTCTCACGTTGTTCAGTAGACAAAGTTTTGTTACTTATTTTCTTCTCCTCCATGCACTGAGTATGTGGGCACATGAGAGCATATGTGTGTTTTCTCCCCATTAGTATGAATCTAGAAAGACGTGTGAGAGAAATTTTTAATCATAAGTATGTAATAGAAATATATGAAAATAATATCTTTTAGATTCATAAAGGAGTGATTCTTCTTAAACATACGCCTTTAAGAAAGCATTTCCTTGGTTACGTGTTCAAAGGTCACCAGCAGAGCCTTGGGTTGGTGGTGTAAGAACTCCAGTATCGTGTGTGCCTCATTTATTTCCTTCTGTAAGGACTGCATCCCCCAAGGAGAAAGGCTGTCCTCTAAGGGTTGAATGCTTTCCTCAAAGCATAACTTTAACTCTGGACCGGCTGTTGAAACCTCCAGGGACTTCGCACCATGTTGCTACCACATGGTTAGGCAGTGGTGCTGGTGTGCGACCGCACCTTGGGAGTCCTGACCCATGGTTTCCCGTTTTGTGGCCTCACCACTTGCTGCTTGCCTCTTTCCATCTCCGTAAGGCCTGCATTCTCTGGCACTTTAGCTTTTTTGCCTTCGGTCTCTCCTCTGTTAGGGAATGCTTCTCCATTTCCACAGCATCATGTGGAGTTTGTTTTCTGACAAAAACATGGAGAACCTACACACATTTCATTCTTAAGATGGGGAGGGGATCATCCTCCATTAGGTCTTGGTCTGCTTGTCCTGTTTCCTTACCTTGGTGAGTTTATTTTGTTTTCATTTTTCCCTTGTCTTTTGGCACATATTTTTGTGTCAGTGGAATTAACTTTAAGCAAATAAAGCAAGACTGATGTATTAGTAAAGCTTTTGTTTACTATTGAAAAAAATAAAGGCCAATAGTTTACTCGTATCTTTCTTATAGCCTTATCAGCCACCTTTAACGTGTGGTCCCCAAGGATGGTGTGGAAGGGAGGAGAGTGTAGAAGTTTTTTTTGTTTTGTTTTGTTTTTGGGGGGTGGGGTATCTAATGGCCTGGCCTCTGAACTGTGTGCACCTTCCTTTATACTCGGATTTTGGTTGCCCAGGTCTGAGTTTTACATTCAACTGTAAGTGAAATAGAGGTTTGGAAATCTAGTCTAGCTAATACTCCCATAATGACCATGAAATGGTTTTTGCAACAGCTGTCATGTTTGTGCTATAACCTGTATGTGGAATTACTCTACTTTCAGATTTGAATTTATATTACTTTCCATTGAGATATTTTTGTTTTGTTTTTTTGAACCAGGCATTGAACTTGGGACCTTGCGCTTGCCAGGTAGGAGCAGTGCCACCAGGCTACATCCCCAGCCCTTGCTCTGTGGAGATAGTAAGGCAAAGGGGAGTAAGTCCCTCTGAAGAAAAGTGAGTTGTTTATGGATTTTTTTTCTGTGTTCATTCATATGTATGCAAATATATCTATTTTTCATATTTGTTGCACATTGTTATCTGTACTTCACTATTTTGTGAAGCCAGGTTTTCTAAAAGAAAAACTTACCATGTCTAACAGTACTTCTTGTACAGAGTATCTATATTCCATCATTGTGTGACAGTAACACAGCTGTATTCGAATAACTGGTATATAAAATACTTCTTTTTTGAGGACTAAGCCATTCCTGTGTGACATATCTTAGTACCACTAGTATTTGAAGGAAGTGGTTTTCTAGAATTGAACATGGGAAGAGAATTAGAATTCAGTCAGTGTGATAAATCACTGAATTTGCTGTTGAAGGACCTAAATTTAAATTAAACCTTTGAAGCAATAACCTCCTTTCAATTCTGGTACTATAGGAGATAATGGAACTTTTAAGTGGAATGAATTTAATTTACAGGTACAGCAGTTTTTTCTTCAATCGCTCATGTTTCCCACAGTATTTATTTTGTTCTTTCAAAGTTTAATCAATAACTAAGGAAAGTCAACTGTCCCTTTCTCATCTGTTTCCTGTTGAAAACATTATGTTTTCTAGATTTGTAGTGCTTTTTGTTTGACATAGGCACTATAGGCAATTATATGTAATATAATTATTTCAGATGTATGTTTAAGTAATTTCCTGGCCAAAGAGTTGATTTTAAGCATGACTAAAAATCTTAGGAAATAGATATTTACTAATAAATAGACATTATCTCAGTTTTCTTCTTCCATAATTTTATTGAGAAACAAATATCAGTGAGACAGTTTCAAATCAAATTGGTAGGACTGTTCCAGTAATTAACACATTGCATACTCTCTTTCTAGTGGTTATTTGCTGTACAAGATGCAGACATGATATCCTATTTACAAACACCATTAGAGCAAATCCCTCTATTCATTAAGAGAATGCAACTATATATCTATCCTAACCATTTTGAATACATAATGGACATTATGATACAAAATGGACATTCATCTGTATCCCCTTTTTTGTTTAGTTCCATAGATTGTGGGGCCAAAGAGGAAAGTGATCGATGATGTAGAGTGTGTCTATGGAGAGAAAACATCCTCTCAGGCTCTCACAGAGAGCACATTGGCCATGCAATGGCCGTGACTCATCTACATGGCTGACACTGACAAAGGATCTACAATATGAGATACAGGATCTCAGGATAAATCCTGAGGGGATTTCACCGACCTTATCAGATTCAAAAGCTACAACTCTTGTTGCATAGGTCTTGTTTTATCTTGGTCTTAACCATCCAGCAGAAAAGTATAAAACCGAAGTACAAGAAATAAAGCCATGGTGTTATGTTGAGCTGTAAGGGACTCTTGTCAACAATTTCTGACACTGCCAGTCAAGCGGAAGACCCAGTACTATTATGGACTACTGGATTCTTTTAGAATATTTTGCTGAGTTAACACACCTATAATATTCATTATCTCAGTTTTACCATGACTGGGCTTGTGTCTGAGTGAACGCTTTCCAACACCATGTGACCTAACGACACTGTCTCCAGAGCTCCTAAGGGGGTGACCTGCTCATGTTTCCCATTGGGGCCGGGGGACAGTCACTAAAGGTAGTTACCCTAGGGATTGTCTTCAGGCACTGGTCGGCCAGGTCAGTCTCTGCTGAATTATTAAAGTTAACTTTCTGCCTTGGATTAGGATATTGCATTAGTTTTAACTTGACTTTCACAAATAACCACAAAATTGATGGCTTAAAAACAACTGAAAAATTATACTGTTGTGGTGTTTGAGGCCAGATTCTGAAATCTGCTCCATGGATACAACCAAAGTCCCCACAAAGCCCTACTTCTCTCTGGAACCTCTGAGGGAGTATTTGTTCCTTACTGCTTCCATTTGTTAGGGCTTCTGAAGTTCTTTGGCTGTGACCCTGTCCTCCACTCTCTGGCCTCTTCTGCCTGTGTCATATCTCCCCTCTTTCCTCCATAAGAATGTGGGGTTACATTTAGAGTCAATGCTGGGGCTGAGGGTAGCTCAGCGGCAGATGCACCTGACAGGTGCAAGGCCCCGAGTTTGATCCCTGGTACCAAAAAAAAAAAAAAAAGAGTCCATGCAGATGATGCAAGATAATCCCAACATCTTGAAATTGTTATCTGCAAAATCTCTCTTTACCATGGAAATAACAACATTCACAGGATTAGGATATGATATCTTAGGTGTTTTGGGAGTGTTATTGAACCCTTTAACCATTAGATGCTATTTTAGAAGTAACTGCTATAAAAGTAATTAGTAAGTACATTATTTTTTCTCCCTACTTGAGTTCTAGTTAGGAAAAATATAGTAGTCTGGTGGTCTGCAGCACAACATTCACAGGATTAGGATATGATATCTTAGGTGTTTTGGGAGTGTTATTGAACCCTTTAACCATTAGATGCTATTTTAGAAGTAACTGCTATAAAAGTAATTAGTAAGTACATTATTTTTTCTCCCTACTTGAGTTCTAGTTAGGAAAAATATAGTAGTCTGGTGGTCTGCAGCACATCTGTTGTGAAAGTATACGCTCTTCTTGTTTAAGAAAATAGTGTATACACCATGACAGAGAAAACAAAGGTAAATTTAACACTTTTGCCCATTTTGTATGTTTTTGTTTTAGTATCTGATACAGATTTTCCATATTCTTTTTTGAGTTATGAAAAAGAAATGATGCTGTATTTATGTTGTAAAAGTTCCCCTGAGAAGAAAGAACATTATACTGCCTTTTAAAATGATATTTATATTTACTTTTTGATTAAAAAAATACTGTTCTTTTAGGAAACTTATAAAAACCAGAACACCATGAAGAAGGAAAAGAGCACTTATAAGCTGAACAATCTATAAATGACTTCTATTGATATTTTAGTTTCCTTTGTTATATTACATTAGTTTTCTCCTTAGGTTATTTGGCAGTTGTTATTACATTTGTCCACACTATTATTATAGGGAAATGGGTGTTTTATGTTGGTTTTTATGCTGAAGAAATAAAGCTAATTCTAAGGCTTATGCTCTGCTCTTTTCCTCAGTTGAAAACTTGGCCTTGCTGACCTGATTTGGATGCAGGTACAAAAAGAGACTGTTATTTACAAGCAGCTCCTTAAAGAGAAGTCCATCAATTGTTAGTGTCGGTTCTTCCTGAATATATCTTTAACTCATTTTCTAGCATGTTTTAAGAAGAAAACCAATCCTGAGAGATGCTCTGAGGAGAAGCAAAAGTCAATCATGAGCAAATAAGTTTGGAATTAGTACTTGATGCTCATGTACATGCATGAGCACATTTGAGCAGTCACTGTGTATATATTAGCATTTTAAAATAATCAGACTTTCTAGAGTTTAGAGCTAGGTAAGCCCAGAGCTCCCCTCATCTGATCGATTTTTTTTTTTTTTTCTTAACACCTATTACAAAGAACTTTATGGTGCATAATTTAGAAAACAGTAATAGTGAACTTAGAAAAGGCATGTTACAAATATTTTTGGTGTATCAGCTTGGCCCCAAAAAGGACTCTCTGTGTGTGTGTGTGTGTGTGTGTGTGTGTGTGTGTGTAAATGTATATGTATTTTGTCTCCTTTACCAAAATCAGTTTTTAAAAAAAGATCATTTGAGTCTATTATCATAAAAATCTTATTAAAGATGCCTTACATTCTCGTATATTAAATGACTTTTCTACACCCTTGGGGAAATTAGGAATTAAGATCTAGGAATAGTATCAAGCAGAGTGAAAGTTCAAAAGAAGAGTGAAAGAGTTGTGTATTTCTTTTTTTTTTTAAATGTAGTGTGAAAGCCTCTCAACCTCTCCCACCAAGTGTCATTTTGGCCCGAAGCTGAGTTAGTTCTCATCTGATTAAATCTGAACCAAATTCTGCTATTTCCTAACTGCTGTGAAATGCAGATTTTTAAAAATGTGTCAAAAAAGCAAGAATGTAATCCTAGTAGGAAACAGCTCTTTTAAAAGAGAGTAATTAGCATTTCATTTATAATCATTATTTTACAACTTTTCGGCACAATGAAATTATTCATTGTGTTTATGTGGCATGTAATTATTAAATGCCTGGTCAGAATACCAGCATAACTTTACAATTCAGGAGATCTGCAAATTCTGGGATTGGCTCGAGAGCTCTGTAATGTCTGATGTCTGTCTCTGTCAAATGAGGATGGTGATCTCAGAACCATAATTAAACTTTTGTTGAAAAAGGGGCTCAGGTAACATGAACAAATGGCTAATTCAGAAATTGCTGGTTTGGATTTAGGAAGCAGCCACAGATGTACATTTTACATATTCACTTCACACAAGCACATTCTCCAATATCTAGATAGCACAAATCTGGTTTTTCTGCTTGATTAAAAATTAAAAAGCCTGTAAAAGGGAGTGGAAGAGGCCATTATAACTGAAAATTCTTTGCTACTTCTCTTAGCTATTTTATCTCTACCACTGACCTATAGAGCAGTGGCTCTTAGAAGAATTCCAGGACTTCACACAACTCCTGATGTGATGGTTTATGTTAGGTGTCAGATTAGATTGGCTGTGGTACCCAGACATTAAACAGCAGTCTAGATGTTGCTGTGAAGGTGTGTTTTAGATGAAGAGATCAGCAGACATTAAGTAAAGCCAATAATCCTCTATAATGCTGCTTCATCTAAATCAGTTAAAGACCTTAAAAGCTTGGCGTTTCCAGAAGGGAAGATTTCTGCTTCTCCAGAAGGGAAGATTTCTGCTGCACACTCCCTGCACGTTCTAGACTCCAACGCTGACCCTGCTGGAGGTGTTGCCTGCTGGCCTCTCCTGTACACACTGGACTTGCTGGGCCTGCAGTCAGGGAAATCAGTTCCTTATAGTCAGTCAAACTAAATCTTAATCTCTCTCTCTCCTCTCCTTTCTTCCAGTTAATCTTCTTCTCTCCTCTCTCTCCCCTTTTCTTTCCCTCTTCCTTTTTCCTTTTTCCCTC